AAATACTCAATTTGATTTCCTCAGGTTGAGTTGCTGTGGTTTGTCAGAGAAAAGCTGCAAAGTTCTGGCTTCAGCACTCCGCTCTCAGTCCTCTTGTCTGAGAAAACTTGATCTAAGTAACAACGACCTGCAGGATTCAGGAGTGATGCAGCTCTCCGCTGAACTGGGAAAGCCTCACTGTCGACTGAAAACTCTAAGGTCACAATTCCTTAAACTACACAGATGACAATTTATCTACCATTAACACCTAAGAAAGGTGTTTCTACATGCGTCACAGGAGTAACTCCTTGTTTTTTCTCCACATTGCATCAGTCCGGCTTATAACCGATTGGTGCTTTTTTTCACAGTCTGACGTTAAATATCAAACTATTTGAGATAAAAACAAAACAGGACTAAAGCTGATTCGGTCAACAGCTTTTATTTATTTTTGTTAACATTAGACTACATTAACACAAGTTAACACTTGCTCTGTGTGTTTGTTTGTAGTCTGTCGGGCTGTCAGGTAACAGAGGAAGGCTGTGCTTCTCTGGCTTCAGCTCTGAGCTCCAAAACCAGTCTGAGAAAGCTTGACCTGAGCTACAATTATCCAGGAGACACAGGAGTGAAGTTGCTGTCTGCTAGACTGCAGGACCCACTCTGCAGACTAAAGACTCTCAGGTATGGAGACCCGCATTTAATGCTCATGTTTCTATAATAGAATATGCTGGTCTGAGATTGTGTACCTCTCACTCCAGGATGGACAATGGAGGAGCCCAGAGGCTGAAACCACTTCTGAGGAAGTGTAAGTACTGTATTGTTTGTATTTCAGTTGTTTACACTGTCATCTACAATTGAATAGTTAAGTTTAACGTCATCACATTGTCATCATCAGAAGTTGTGAAAATATAAAAACAACTGATTTAAGTTAACTGAACTTGAGAAATCAAGTGTAATAAACCTAAAATAGAAAGCTGAGTGCGTCCTGTGTAGACATGCCCTTAGCAACTTATCACAGCAACTTTATTCACTTGGTCACCAGATGCCTGCTATCTCACACTGAACCCAGTCACAGCCCATCTGGACCTCGTTCTGTCTAAAAACAACAGGGTGGTGACGGGGCCAAGATTATCAAGGCAGCACTCTCAGCAACATGTCCGTGTTGACCCAGAGAGGTTTGATCACTGGACCCAGCTGCTGTGTAGAAATGGTCTGACTGG